CAGAGTGCCCCTGTCCAAGCCTTTTCCAGAGTGTGCCATGGGAGACAATGTCCCAGGCTGTGCTGAAGGCCAGGCAGACACATCCACAGCCTTCCCCTCCTCCACCAGGTGGGTCACCTGGTCAGAAAAGGTTGGTCAGGCAGGACCTGCCCCTCCTAATCCTGTGCTGGCTGGGCCTGATCCCTGGCTGTCCTGAGTGTGCCCTGTGAGCACACCCAAAGGGATCTGCTCCATAACCTTGCTGGGCCCAGGGTTGGGCTGACTGTAATAAACACACCTCCCTCATACACACCCCAGTCACTGGGGTCCTTTCACCCCAGTTCACCACAAGGGGTTTACCAACAGCAGCCTCAGTTCTCTGCTTCAGAGGCAGGTAGTAACAAATAATTTATTTTAAATTACAAAACCAGGGTTGTCTTTAGGGAAAAATAAAGAAGAAACTTAGGTTACTTCTAGGAAGCAGCAGTGAAGTGGGAAATGGGGGAAACAGCCATATTTTAGCTGAAGAGATTTGACACAGTAAAGCTGATGGAGAACCCAAAAACACAAAAAGGGATTGGTTTATATTCTGTTCCTGACTTGAACCTGAACATTTCAAAGCCATAACTCCACAACTTTCTACAAAGCATAGTGCAAAACCAAAACTAGTTATATTTAAATATTAAAAATACCAAATCAGACTTCATAAACAGTATTTGGTACAACAGTCACAGGCTCCTATAAATGGTGTTGTCTATTAGTTGGGTTTAGTATTTGGTCCCGTTTTTCTTCATACGTTTCTATCATTTTCTGCATGTCATGGTCAGCTCCAATAACCTTGAAAAGAAGAACATGAACATTAGAAATAACTGACACCATATAACATGGGGGGTTTTGAGCAAAACAGAAGAGGACTAGCACTGAAGCCAAACCAAGACACTCCTGGGGTCTGTCCAAATCACTTTCCATTTGAAATTTGGCATTCCCTGAAAAGTTACATGGCTGATCCTGCAACCATCACAGTGAACAGACCCTCAAATTCCACAAAGAGATGGAAAACCACACTTCCATGCTATACACTACACGTCTGTAAACAGTTTTCTGAGGTTCTCATTCTCCAAGGTTACCAGAAAAGCAGATTTATTTACTTTTACCACTAAATAATGCTCTTATTATTTGAAAAGTACAATCCTCCACATGCCTAATTGGTTATAATTAAAGTAATACTCACAAGCACTGGGCAGGAAACTTCCAACAGTGCACGTTTAATGAGCCACTCTTCATAGAGCTCATGAATAGCTTCTAAATATTCCTAGAAAAGAGGCACTGGAATAACACATATGCCCAGGGATGAAACACACACTGCAATTTATCCATTTGGTAAGCAAAAACACAGAGAAAAGCCAGCACTGGATATTTCCACTAACAAAACATACAAAGCATACAAAGGTTTCACAAAACATTAATTCCCAGCACAAGGTTTTACTCCATAAAGAACCTCAAAGACACAGTTTACAGGAGCACAGGGCTCTCAGCTCCTTTTAAGATCAAGCAACCCTGATTCTCTCCCACAGGTATCATGTGGTTCAAGATTTTACAGAGGAGAATCCAACAAAGAGAAGTAAGCACACGAAGGGCAAGGCAGCAAAGAATATGTACTGGAGGCACTTTGTGTGTTAACACATGTTCCTAAAATTCCCAGTTCCCTTTCTCCCAACCACTCAATTTGCTCTAAAAGCTTTTCTGCCTGTCATCAACTACTGGGTGTTTTTTTCTTGGAGACCACTTTACATTGTTCATTCCAAACTGCTCCCCCAGCCCTGTGAAACAACACAAGGACTCTCCAAATCCATCACAACAAGGATTTACTCTCAAGGCAAAATTTCACATGGCCCAAAATGGAGCTCTTTGCCACTGACAGTTGCTTCTCCTGGACTGCCCAGCAGACAGGCTGTGTGTGCAGAGGGAACCCCGTTTGTGTCTGGTCAGGCTTTCTTTAGTTAATTCATTCACCAAACTGGCACAGAAAGGGATCCTTCCATTACCACAGTTAATTTTAAAGCACATTCCCACACTTAAAATTTTCCAGAAGTTGCTTCTTTTCAGACACAAGCAGAGACACTTTTCCTGCATAAACATCCTGGTAACAGCAGACAACAACTTGCCCACAGAAATCTCCAGCACCTGCATACCCAGGTATTTGTGCTTCAACTGGGTGCTTTTATGCCATTTAATGGTACAAAAGCAATTGACTTTTTACATCTTAGAGAAGATTAACAGTTGATTAATACTCCAGCTAAAGTCAGCTATAGTACAGTGTTTACTAAAACATAACACTTGGGACAGTCAGTGTGCATGACAGATCATTTTTTAAAAATAAATCAAAATTAAATTGTGGAAACAGCTGCACCCCATTTTGGCAGTACACTCAGGACACCATTTTAGAATTTAGATTAGAATCATTATGTTTTTAAGGCTCCTTGTAACCACATACATTGGAGCAACTCCTTACCAGAGGAATGATCTTTTCTTCTTCCCTGCATCGTGTTTTTAACCTCTCATAACAAACTTTAGGAGATGTCTGCAGATAAACTGTTATAACAAAAATTAGAATAGTTATGATCAAGGATCAGCTTTAAAAGCAAAGAAGAACTATAGAAGGAAAGAATCCTGACTTGGGTACCACCACTGAGCCCCCCTTTGGCTCTACCATTAATCCATCCATGAACCACCCACAAATCCAAGCTGTCAGATGCTACATGTTACAACCACTATTACACTGAATAATGTGATTATTTATTACCCAACAAACAAGAATTATTTTTACTCCCAGTAAAGAAAGCCACCCAGAAACACACCCCTCCAGATCCCACGGAAATTTTACCTATCAGATCCACTGAAACATCGATGTTGTTCTTGATCCAGTCAAACCATTCACTTAGCACAGCATAATCCACCTCTGGCATTTTTCCACTGAACAAACAGAAGAGCCATCACTCACTGAACAGCATGCAGAGATCAATTCTAAACTCTGGTTTTTCTCACCAAACTAGAACTGCTCCCCATTTACTCCAGCATATATGAAAAGAAAACAACACCAATGTTATTCCCACCCAAATTGAAGGCCACATAAACCATTGTCTGTACAAGAGAAAGATCAAATATTTTTCTTTTAAGTGCTTATTAAAACAAAGTTTCTATTATTAATAGTTACAAACATTAATTTTTTTCCACTACAGTTAAGAAATAATTACTTGGTGACAAGGAAGAAAATATTACCACAGTGACATTCACACAATAACAGCAAATTAGTGTCAGTGGTTATTTATTGCTCAGGTTCTTTGGATCAGGATCATTTCAAATCTTTCTGCAGTGCATGTCACCAGAAGGGCTGGGCTTACTCAACAGCACTGACAATTCCTTACAGAAGCCACAGTAAAGAGCAGTAAAAAAATAATGACGCTGTAAACAAATTTATTCCCACTGTAAGAAATATTTGTGGAAAGAGTAGTGAAATATTCAACATGCTTAATTGGAGCTCTGTACTCAGAGAGCACAGACAACATAGACAACTGTCCCAACTATCTCACCAAGAATAATAAAATATCAGACAGGGAGTTACAGAGAACATGTTAAGAATCACATTAGTATTTTATAATAAAAACATTCTGGTTTCATTAGTCTCAGATTTTCACTTATTACCATATTCCTAGTAGTCAAATATTACTAGTTTTACATTATCCTGTCTTCAAAACTGGTGACAGTAACACATACTCCACACTCCTTCCTAAATGCCTCTGCAATAAAAATATAAAAAGAGATGGAGTTGGAAGGCTCCTGTCCTCTGCAGCTGAATGATTCACACCAGTTACAACATTTTAAATAGTGAAGAACGAGATTCCACAGATTTCTAAGCCCTTCTCCTGGCAATGTGCTTTGATCACTGGCAAAACAGAGGAGAGATAATACAGGAAGGTATTTCCCTTTAGGTTTGTCAAACCCCATATTTGTACCCCCTCAATTCTTTATCTGCCATCCAGCTGAATGTTCCACCTCCCAAAATGAGATTTCCCACTTCCTAAAACGGGATATCCCCCCCAGAAATGGGATAACAAGTCATTGCTATTCCTCTAATATACCAATCACATACATTCCTGGGTAGCAGGGACCTACGTAAGCCAGATACTGATTCTGCTACTTTTCTCCAGGATAGATGGGGAAAACTGGAAGGTCAAAAGGAATTGGAAATAAGAAAAAGCACCATTATTCTTACCCTAAAAGATGGTAACATCCAAGTCAATTCTGCACTGACCTGCCCTACAGACAACCTGCCTTTGCTTCCCCTTTGTCATGGAGTACCCTGGATAATCCTGTGAGGATTCTGGATCAAGATCCATATACAGGGAATGTACAAGGCACAAAAGGGTGTTCTCATTTCTGAGGTTTGCTGACATTTGACTCCTGCCAAGTCAACTTTTCACTGCAGAAGTTGAACATGAACAAACTGACCTTTGTATCATAACTACAAATTCCAAGGGGACAGAGGGAATTGGTGGTGCTCAGACCCTGCAGCACAGCCTGCACACTCCTGTGCACACATTTAGATTTCTCCTGGTTTTACACCTGACATGAGTGTGCCTTTCATACCAGACTCAAGACACAACTGCACTCAGACTGCAATCCCAGACCTTGGACACTCGTGCCTCTCTCCACCTGCCACAGACACTCCCAGCAGTTGCTCACAATTGAAGCCTTCCATCATTGTTGTAAATCTTTCTCTGGTTCTCTCTCTGGGACAAAGCCTGCAGAGCCAAAACTGAGTGACTGGATCAAAGGAGAACTGATATCCCTGATGTTCCCACAGCTCTTCATCCCTTGCTTCAACTGACCATTCTCCTAAAGGAGCAGAGTTTGTGCAGACATGAGAGAACAGCAACAGGGGGGACCTTCTCAGCCTCACAACCCCCTGACAGGAGGGGGGAGCCGGGGGGGTCGGGCTCTGCTCCCAGGGAACAAGGGACAGGAGGAGAGGAAACAGCCTCAGGCTGTGCCAGGGGAGGATCAGGTTGGAGATTAGGAAAAATTCCTTCATGGAAAGGGTTGTCCAGCCCTGGCACAGCTGCCCAGCTGTGTGTGCTGGGGAACACTTGGACTTGATGATGTTAAGAGTCTCTGCCAACCTAAACAATTCCATGATTCTTCTCCATCTTTAGGACTGGGACCCTAAGCAGTACCTTCTCTTACAGAGAAGAAAGCACAAAATAACCTCTGCTCTGCACTTTGCTTTTGGCCACTACCCGTGACAAGGTATGAGGGAGGCCAGATTTACTTATTTTTTTAATGTGATACAAAATAGCTGTTTTCATATGGCCCCAATTATTCCTTGTTTTATTTAAAATCCTTTTACACACCCTTTTCTTCTGGCTTGTTATTGGTAGCACCAGCTGCCTTCTAGCTTGCTGCAACAAAACAAAGCAAATGCTTTTCATCCAACATTAAAGAGTGCTAAAGCCATGGAACACCTTAGATGCCCTTAAAATGTTATTACAGAATTAACACATGGAGTTGACACAACCAGACTTTGCCTCATAGCAACTGAGTTCTGAGTCTTTGGGACAAAAGCACTTTGTCTACAGTGAAAAAGAGAAGTCAGTAATTAAAAACAAGAAGGATATTCCAGGACACTTCCACTGGGATAAATAATGTCTTTCTGTTTGCCTCACATCCTACTGTGTCTCTCCCCACTCCCAAAGCCATTCCTGCAGCACAGATGACACCTTGTGGCAACAAACTGGTTCGTGCCTTGAGGCCACTGAAAAACCCACTAAAACAACAGCCTGTTCAATTAAAGGTCAGCATTCCAAACAAACCAAACCCAAAACACTCAGTGGTGGTTACCACTGTTTGGTTAGTTTGGGATGGGTGAGTTGGGGCAGGTAATAAATAAGTGATTGTTCTTTCTGTACTCACAGCCTGCCAAGGTTTGCAGCCTGGTCTGATCCTGTAAATCCTGAGCCAGAGCAAGTGACTCGAGTTCCTGCTTCTCCCTCAAATTCCTGCTTGCAAGAAACACCAGTCCTGGGTGCCAGGTTGGGTAACACTACCTAGTTCCCTCCTTCCTACAGTGTCATTCTTTATATCTCCCTGGGTTTTAACCTGTTCAGCGTGTGTTTGCTTTGATTTAGCAGGATTTTTGTATTCAGCTGGAGAGCAGATAACTTCAACAGATGTTGTCCAACTAAATTCTGTGCTAAACACACAGGAGCACTGCTGAGAAAGGCTCTCCATGTCCTACAGGTTTTATTTTACCCGTGGGCAGAACATCCTGACCCACCACACTCCCACTCCAGCACAGAACTGACAGATTTCACAGGCCACTTGGATGCATATTACCAAACAAATTACCAGTTGATTTTATATATATATATATTCACACATATATAAAAAAATTAATTAATCCAAGAAAGTGAAGTATAAATTCATGAACCATACCTTCTGTACAAATTTTCCACAAAGATGTGTTTTGCACTGTGAATTGATCTCTCCATCATTCGGACTGGAGAAGTCTACAAAATAAAACTTGACAGTGTACATTTTTCAACATGTTTGTTATCTTTTCAGACTCACACTGCACATTCTATGAAACATATATGATTTTCAGATCTTTCCTTCAGATTTTGTGACAAACAAACTTACTGGGAAGGTGGGAACCACAAAAAAACCAAGGATTCCTGATCTTATTTATGGCCACTGCATTATTAAACAGCTACATAACTAATTTGTTATTCATACTCATACACAATTTTCAGCATTCGGTTCATTTGAATGAACTTTTTCTGCAACAGAACAGGATTTCTATTGTCTTGGAAAAACAACTCTTCAAAAATCTAATGTTTGTATGTGCAGTATCACTCACAGGTGGTACTGCTGAAAGTTTGCCCCAACACAAACCCAGAAAATAAAACTTAACAACAATCATTAAGATATAAGCATGGCATCTAAGATCAGATCTTGTAATCAGGGAATGGAACACAGTATGGAATGTAAGGGAAAGAGTTTGAAGGCAAGAGAATAAACAAATCCTGGTAAAAATGTAGAACACGAAAAATCAATATAGAAAAAGAAAATATTACAAGAAAAAATTATGTAAACCATCTGAAAAAAAAGTAGTAGAAAATGTTAGAAGCACTTGGAATAAACACAAGAAGCAAGGGCTAAATGAATTATAACATGAGATTATTTAATGTTTGCCAAAGATCTGAAATAGCAAAATTACAGCCAAGGCACTGAGGTGAGATGAGGAAGATTCTAGCTCCTCAGGCTGGTGCCAAACCAGCAGCATCAGTTTGGGGAAGTCAAAGTTCTGAGCAGGCAGGAGGCACATGTTTTGCCCCCAGAGCACATGTCTTTGTACCACAAAAATTCCTCCTCAGTGCAGGAACAAAGAATGAACACAAACAGATCCTAACTTTTGAATACAAGGTTAAAAGCATTTCGCACTCGTAACCATATCTAATTCTTTTTTAAATTAGAAAAGAAATGTCTCTTTACCATTGGTCTGGTGTGCTGCTCCAACATGGTCAGCTGGACATAAGTCTGTAACGTTATCCCCCATCTGGAAGCATCTTGGTACATTAAACCCTGGGGTCAGGGATGGAAGGAAGACACAGACATTTGTCAGGTCAAGGAGCCAAACACTGAAGGTGGTATTTAGTGAGCTCTTACAGTAC